CCCTAAAGACCTTAAGGGGTTTTTATTTTCTCTAATTGGGTGACACTGTTTTGTGGGCCTCTAAAAGCCCCATTCCCAGCAGACAGGGGACTAGATTTATGAAGAGAGAGGCTTCTTCCTGTCTGGGGATGAGATCTTCTAAAAGCTTCTTCACAGATGTTTTGAACCAAGAGGAAGACGAAGGCTCATGTGGCTCTGGTATCAATTAATTAGGCGCAATAGTACTATCTGCAGGAAATAAGAGAAGACTTCTTTAATCCTGTTGTCATTACTGTCTTCTCAAGCATTTTGTAACGTGGAGTTACTTCATTTGACAGCGTGGTTTTAGCTTGTGATAAATTGTATACTTAAAGAATCTGTAGCAGTACTTTTTCTCTTTTTTTCACATGAAAAAATCTTACTTTTTACAAAGCAAAAAAAAAAAAAGTTTCTGTTCTTTCATGAGTAATCTGTTGGTTGCTAGGTGCCTTTTGCCCCAGGTCAGTTCCTAAAGATAAAGGAATGTGATCTGGCTCCTTTCCCCAGTTACGGTATATTCGACAATTTAATACCGGCTATTTGTGGTTCTTCTTGAAAGATTGTATCTCAGGTCAGCTGTAGGCTATTTGTTAAAAGCAGATACAGTTGCACTCCCTTCAGTCCAAGTCAGGAAACTGAGACCTGCTTATAATAAGGGGTTTGTCGCTTCTGTCCACACGCTGGTAGGTATTCACTCAGCTGCGAGAGAGAACATTGCAGTCTAACCTTGCTGTGGGATCTTTGGAGTCACACCAGGGTACACAGGATGATTTGGGTGCTCACTTGTGGCTATTGATGTTCAGATGATCCAAGCGAAGACAGATCTGATCTGTGTTCACTTAAAGAAGTACAGTCAAGGTAAATCAATTTATTAGATTATATGCAGGAAACTCCTAAATCACTTCCTGAGAAGTAAACGTAAATTTATTACTAGGAGAAGTTGGCAGGGTTCTCAGAGATTCCGAATAGTTGCAGTGTTTAAGGGTGCCTGGACTCATTTATGTAGATAAAACTCTGTAAGTAAGCCTGCTCTAAACTGAGTGAAAGGATGGACAAAATTGGTTTTCATCTTAGAAACAGCCATCTTCACAAAGTGCTGAGAAGGGGCTTTTCTCCATAAGTTAATTGTTACGCAAGACTTACATGGACTACATGACATTCTTAGCACTGTTTCCTTGCAGCTGTTAATTCGGGCAGGAGTTGTTCATCTAGCTTTCACACTCTATGAAATTCAGTTCTCGCAGTTGGTTCAGCACAAGTCCTGTGTGCCTCCCTGCGTTCAAAACAGATCCCAAGGTAGACATTGCGGGTACTTAAGCCTTATGTCCGAAACCTCTATCTTTAACGGATGCTGAGCTGCTTTCTTGGGCATTGTCACTGCTTGCTCAAGTCAGAGGGAGCTCTTCTGGCAGCTTGTGACAATAGCTGGAATTTATTGCGTGTCTCTACAGATCCTTACTAACTCTCCAGTGTGAAGTTTGGGGTTTTTAACTAGGTTGGTGAGCTTGAGAGAGGCTGGAGACAGATCCAGGAAGCAGTGGTGCTTTCTAAGTAAAGAAGAGCTGAATATGCTTGTGCCTGTTTGGTGTAGTCTGTACAGAGATGTTTTTGAGCTGACTTAAAGAAGAAGGAAATAATACAAATAATTAAGTGGTACTAAAATGTTTCACTGTCCTGTTATACTTGCCTTCCAGAAGTGCTTATGAAACTGAATTTTTTGCTATTTTGTGTGTGTGTACATATACTTTTATACTCAGCTTAGAATTTCAGTTCTTTCCTTTAACCAAAGTAAAGTTAAAGTTGTATGAGTAATATATTTGAAGTTTCTGCTGTGTTGTGTTATTTATATAGGTATCCATTGAGGACCAGAAATTTATATCACCTGACTCCTAGACACTAACCCCCTGGTGTGAATTCAAAGGATGAAAATATGGAGAGAAAAATTTATCGAGCTGTTTCCAGAGAGCTTTGAATAAATGAGCATGAGATGACTGGGAAACGCATTTCCCAAGCAGATGATGAGGTCACATTTAACAAAAAATTAAGTTTTTTAAGTGATGTCCCTGTATCTACTAAGTTGCTTAAGAAACAGTCAGGAGTTTCAGAGAATGGTGCTCAACTGCTACAGTGTGGACCTGCTGAAGTAGCGTACTTCAGCAAGTAAACTTCCATTTTGCAGCTTCCCAGAATCTCATGGATTTCGTTGCTGCATTTAAATGTTTATCACTATGGCCTGAGAGTCTAACTTACCATCAAAAGTTGTTTTAAGTTATTATAATAATTCCCTTTACTTTTTTCTTCCTCTCCCTAAAGTTCAGGAGAACTCTGTGAATGCCATTTCTTGTGGTGTTTGCCCTTCATCCCTTAATTTCTTGGTTTGTCAAGAAATGGCATTTTTGTAATACTGCAAGAGAGGTGCTCTCATATTTTTATCAATTTGGGACAGACTGGGGCATTCAGGCTCAAAGTTCTAGAATGGGGTGTACAGTCTGTTTCGACCCTTTAAGGCTCTGCTCCTGTTTGTGTGTGTACATATGCATATCTGCAAAGAGAGTGTCTTTCAGGATGTGAAATTCCTGCATTGGCAGGAGGGTGTTTGAAAACACTAATTGAAATGTCACAAACTATCAGGCTCGCTCCTGGTTTTTGGCTTTTTGTACATAGTCTTGCTGGAAAATGTTTTGGTTTTCTGAGGCAGGCAGAGGCAAAAAAGAGCAGAAGGAAATCACCTGGCTCCCACACAATTTCTCCATTATTCACTAGTGGGAGAACCGGGAGCTCTGTGGCTCATGCCAAGAGGACATCACTGAATTGTATATTTCAGGCTTTAGTTTTAATGAATGCTCCCTCTTTTAATCTTTCTCTGAAAACCATTGGGGCATGTCTGGGAGATGGGTGTGCATCTTCAAACACTGTCTACCCTGGAGATTTTCACAAAGCGTTGGAAGCACGTGCGCAGCGCCAGGCATTGGCTGCACCTGGTGAGATGGATTGGATAGGGAAGAAGGTGTCTATGTGTAGAGGTCCTATGGGTCCAGATCACATAAAGGCTTGCATTGCCTAATGGTTTGGGATTCTTACCGTCATTTCCACCTGGTTCTACCCTTTTCTCTCTGCTTGTTCTAAAAAGAGTGTTTTGAAGTGACTGACTACTTTTCATGACCCTTTGTTTATACTGTAGCAGTTCTGTTGAGGAGTAGAAGCCCTCGTGGAAGGCTTTTCATTGAGGGGGTGATTGTTAAATGTTGCTGCTTGTCTATGGCTCAGGTATGCTTCTGGAACAGTGGTGTCATTTAGTGGGCAGAGGGAGTTAATAGCAAAGCAGAATTAAAAATAAATAAAAAACAAATTTTCAGCAAGAGAACGAGTCCACGTTGTAGGTGCTGCCAGGCAGTTATCCCATGCAAAGAGGTTGTCGTTGTATTGGTCTCTCACTTAATGCATGGTGTTCTTGTGCAACTGCTACTGCAACAAGTTCGTGTAGCAAGTCACTGGGGAATCTCAGAGAAAGGGGACTGCTGAGGTGGAAACCAAAGTGAGGGTAGAGACCACAAGACAACAACCCCCCCTCTATTCTGTGAAATCACTCTGCTGTGTTTAAAGGGCCACTGCTAGAGTGGCTTGTGTCTAAGTAGCCATCGTGGCAGAGAGTTGAGCATCAGTCTTTAGTCTGATACAGCCTGCTCTATCTTGTCCCTAACAAATAGTTGTTCTTGAAGTTACACTGTGTTTGTGGGCATTGTTTGTATTGGTAGTGAGACGTGCCTCTTTGACTATATACTGACTGTCAGGTGTTTTGTGATGAGCCCCAGAACTGACATCAGGTTGACAATTAGTTAATCTGACTTTCTTTGAACTGAGAATATGATGATGAGAAGCTGCAACTCTTATGTCATTGAGAATTTTGTGTTGGTATGATACGGATTTTTATTTTGATAATCAAGTGTCAGCAAAGTCCAAAATTCTTTGTGGTGTAAGTGCTTGTGTTTAGAAGCCAGAACTTGGATTGTCTGTTAGACTAGCATCATGAGTTAGTCAGGCTTCATAAAAGCAACCTCAGTGTTATCCCTGCATCCCAAAAAAATACTCTCTGAAAGCTTAACTGAGATGAAAAATGTAACTGAGATTTGACAGCTGGGGTCAGGGCAAACCTAGGGCAGGCTGGGCGAAAGACTGCTCTTGATGGAAGAGGAAGAGTGGAGCTGGCAGGAGAAGTGCTATCCATGGCTGTATTTGGAGTGGGTGTTGCGGTCACTCTTGGAAATTCCCTCCTCCACTGCCTCCCCTTGGCTCTGGTACATCCAGAGTGTCTGGTGTTTATTGCTGATGAGTTCAGCATTAGGGATTTGTGTTCCTGCCAGGAGCATGGTCCAGAGTCCAGGCTGTTTCCTATGGAGGCCAAAACTGAAAAATGTGAGAAGAGGGAGGGGTACATGGGGTGTGTGCAGGGGAGGCTTTTTGTGTTTCTCTCCAGAGATGAACGGGAAGCGTGTCCTGTTAAACCAGGAACAGAACTGTGCTTTTAATCAGCTGTGTTAGCAGCATGTGCCTTTGTATTGCTTCATTGTAGAGGAACTTTTAACTCCACTGAGAAGAGGGAATTTAATCTCTTTAATGTGCAGAGGAAGCGGGAAGGATGGCAAAAATAAATACTAGTATCTCATGCCTGGAAAACTACAGAGCATGGGTACAAGACCATTTCCAGAAGAGTAAAGAATCTGCCTTCAAATGTCCTTGGATTTTCTCCCTTCCTGTTGTTTCTTTGCTAAGCTGCATGTTGGGTGGTGCTGCCTGTCTTCTAAAATGATTCTTGTTACAGAAAGTCTTGTGTATCACTCGCTGCAGAAGGTCCTCTTGCATCCCCTTTAATTTCTGTCTCACAACATGCACAGGTTGACCTGTGGGTAAATCTGCATGCCTCCCTTATGTTTGAGGTGCCTGCAGTCGTCTTTGCGTGCGAGTGCGTTTCACGGGCTCTCCGGTTGTCCTTACAAACCATGGTACGATGCGTGAACTAAATACACCACAGGCTGAGTTTCCTTCTGCAGTGCTGGCAGGCCTGTGGGAGAACCGTGTGTGCTGTGCAGAGGTACAAGCAGAGGAGGGGGCTAGACGGCCAGGCTGCACTGGGGAGCACTGGGCCAGCTGGACAATGCGGTGGGACTCTCAGCTGAATCTGCTTTAACGCAATAGAACATGATTTTAGCTGTCTTCGGTCCACAAAGACAAATGTCAAGTTCTGGGGAAACTGCAGAAACTGTGAAAACGTTGCTTCACAGTTTGTGTCTGGGTCATTCCCAGAACATATGGTGGTGCTGTTTCCCCGTTTTTTTTCTTTTTTTTTTTTTCCACTTCAAGGATGTCCCATTTGTGATATTTATTAAATTGCAGAATCCTTTACTCCTCCTGAAGTATTGTAAGGCCATAACAGTTTCTTGTTTTCAACAGTTGTGTGAGGTGCCTTGATGTATGTGTAGTATAAATGCTGGGCCCCTTTGGACCCCATGGTCACCTTGTTCTCCTTCTCACTCACATGTGGAATCAAGCTGGTCTCCTTCATCATGCCTTGAAGGTGGCAAGAACTTAACTGTTGGATTCACTCTTGCAATGCTTTAGTTTGTGTACAATCAGCAAAGAAACTGCTGCAGGGCAGATGAGTTGCTTGGGTCAATTCCTCTGCCCACCTTCATGTGTGCACATTGGAGTATTGTCTTTTGACACATCACATTCAGAAAACCTCTGCATGAGGTTCTTCCAGGGTTCCTGGATGGTTTCCGAGAGCAGGAATCAAGACAAAATCCTAATCTAGTTTTATACTTGCATTAGGGAGTAGAATTAGGAAGACTAATTCAGAGATTGTAATAAACTTATATGGGGTGCCACCTCTTTATTGTGAGGACATGCTGTAGCCGTGTGCACCAGTTCAGCCAATGTTGTCTAGTTAATCCATATCCATAGGGTCGTGTAGTAGGGAAGGCAGGGTGGAAAAAGCTTTTAACATAAAACTTGAACAGTTGCTTGGATATTGCAAAAACATTTTTGCCTAATGTTGCTGCTTCTAGAGAGAGATTGAGCACTCTGCGTGAGCGGGTCAGCATGTTATTGGGAGTGAAGCATTTCAACAGTTATGTGAGCGTTGTCTTAGGACTTGCCTTTTCTCTAGGCTTTATCTTTGCTGGAGCTAAAATCCAGGTCCCAGAGCCTTATACTTCTCAGCAGCTGCTTAGGAGAGATGTATCAGTGTGTTGGTCCAGTAGGTGTGTAGTGTTCTGTTCACAGAAGTTTAAACAACTGAATACATTCTTCATGAGTAGGCAAGCTATGTTTTATGTCAGTTGAGGTTGTAGATGGGGTCTTACTGTTGACAGTCGTTGTAATCATACCACTTTGTGTAAATAGATGGAGCAGCTCCTTCCTCAGTCCCAAGTGTGCCTTCTGCCAGGCATTTGTTGTGGACTCCCTGTCTGTGCTTATCATGCTCTTGCTTTCATAGCTAGTGCTAGTTGTTAAAGTTGAGCACAGCAGAGCATCTTTATCTTTCAGTGAAGAAATTCAGCCTAGTTCCTGTCTCTTTTCTCATTCTCTCTTTTTTTTTTTTTAACAGTTATCAGACACATGCACTTTTCCAGTCTCTTCCTTTCAGCTATCCAGATGCTTCCCCAGAGCAACTGTGAATAGCAGTAATTAGGAGGCCTTTGTGCTATCAGTGCCCCCTTTATAAGCAAAGTCTGTTACGTGAATGGCTGCAGTTGAGGGTAAAACTTTTATCCTGTTGCAAAGATCTGGCAGATTTCTTTAGCTTTTCCCCCTATAACTGCCGACACTTCTGGATGGAATCACAGTGTGTGAGTGGAGGATTGAAATAGAGGAGCTCTAAAGTCTCATTTCAGATTTGATCTTCCTGAGATGGTGAAAGGGAGACCATTTTTGCCTAAATAGGTGAACAATAGTTAGGATGGGTGGCCCTCTGCTATCAGGATGGATTTGATGAGAGACTCAGCCTGTTTTCCAGGTCTCTTGCTGTTAGAGAGGAATTAGCAGGGTGGTTGTCCATCTGAAGTCTCTGCAGTTTTGAGGGAACTGGGAAGAGAGAGAGAGAATAGTCTCAAAACCAAAATGTGACCTACTTTTCCTGCTTCTCTCCACAGCTGCCAAAAGCCGGCTGAACAAGAAGTCAGATGGAGTGAAGGTAAGTTCTTGCTTTCCCATTTCACTCTCTCCCATCTGAACAGAAGGCAGCCACTTCCTCTGGTCCCCATCCCCTTCCAGGTTAAAACCACAGGCCTGTCCAGTGGCTGGGCTTGTTATGTTCAGTGTATTGTTATGGAGCCCCAGGTGGGATCGTAATGTTTCCTACATGCACCTTATGCATCACACAACTAGCTAAGTGCGCTACTGTACCACCAAGATTTCTTTTTCCCCTTTCTCTGAAGTATGGGGAGAACTGGTCAATTCTGTGGATTAGACAGACCAAGGACTTGCTCGTGTGACACACGCCTCCAACTAGTCTGTTCTGTTCAATGCAGAATGCTTCTGGGTATTAAAATTGCACAGAGCAATTGTCAGTGACTGATGATACCCAGCAGACCCCATAGAAATCTGTCTCCCCCCTTGAACAGATGCTGAAGGCTGAGCTGGGGAGAGAGGTGGGGAAGGAGGAGCCTCCAGATGTTCATGTCTGGACAGAATGGAGACTGAGTCTTGTGTTAGAGTTCAGCCCATGTCTCTGGGGGACGGGCACTCTCCTGTTCCCTTCTGAGGGAATTATTTTTTTCCCCACTTCAATTTCACTCTTTATGTGCATGGTCATCATGTAGTTCTGGAGATCAAATAAGCCATTCCCAAGGCTGTACGTTGTTGCAGGCAGTAGCCCTTTATCATCTAGTACTGGAGTAGAGATAGTTACGGGCTAGAGCACTGTCTTCCCCTAACTGTTCCAAAGGATAACTGTCCTCCACATGGGAAAGTAGGGTTTGGTTTATTTGCTTGCATTTCCATTTGAAGAGCAAACTTTTCTTTACAGCTGTTAGGCAGAGTAGTTCATCTCCTAGTTTTGCACGGTGGACAGTCTTCATTCTCCCTGTTCTGGGGAGTTGACTTGCACACTGCAGGACTGGCACGCTTGTTCTCTCCTGCTGTCTTAGCCCTTGTCCATTTTAATGAGGCTTTTTTTCCAGAGGGCTCACAATACAAGCAGGCTGATAGAAAAAGTGGTGTTTTCAGAGGAGTTGTGTTTATTTTGGGGACTGCTTGAGTAAAACCTGCATTCTTGCAGTTCTGCTGTGTTCTGCCCTAATGACACCCAAGTCTTTGGGGCTTTTTGACCAAAATGCTACATGGAACTGCTGTTCTTACCCTAGGATACTTACCTTTGAAATGTGCCTGCAAGAGTGAGCTTTTGTGGTTTGCACATGCCTGCATCTTGCACAGACATGCGTTGAACCACATGCACACTAGTAGCAAGTGTGTTTGAGTTGTCGCATCTGTTGATATGGAAAACACTGCAGTAAAATCCCAGTGCAATAAGAATGGATGGATCCCAAATGTTGTGAACTGAGAACCAGCAGATACTTGCTTCAAAATCCCAACATGACAGGGGAGAAGCAACTGGAAAAGCAGCAGATAACAATGTGTCTACATAGTTTTTGTCACCTGCCTGGAAAAAGCTGGCTTTCTTCTCAGGATTCTTGATTTCCCGCAGGCTGTCAGGGAATGCTACAACTTGGGTCAAAATCTTCCAGAAATGGACAGATGATGTGCACACAGGTTTTGAGGCACAGCTCCCTGGTCATATAGTTACAAGGAGACTTGTATGTTAGAGACTTCCAGCTCCATAGAAAGCTTCTGGTATTTGATTGAGAACATTGTGTCTTACTCTGAAGAGGGTAAAGCTGGATTTGCTTTTCTAGCTGATTTGAAGTATTCTTCAACTCTTCACAGAATATGTTGTTCCTGATCATCTATAATTGAATACGTGTGATAAAGTGGAAGGTAGATTAGAGAACGTAGCATTCTCTGTACATGGTGAATGGGATTGCCCTCTGGGAACCTCTTCTGTACTTCTGCATGACACTGGAGACCTGCAGTCAAGAGTCTGCATGCAACTTCCTTGCTCCTAAGTGTTCGAGCAGTCTTGTTCTGCAGTATGAACTTGAGTGGTGTCTACAAGGGGCATCACATGCTTTCAACCTGGGCTGAGGACCCTCAAAAGGGTTGTTTAAGCTTTCCATTTTCCCCAAACAGCATCTATCCTGAGGTGTAGCTTTTGAGTCCTCATTTCTATAAGCTTTAAATCTGACAAATAAATTATATATTTCTTCTTAAAGCTGGTGTTTTCTGTAATCCTTTTGCTCAATAATGCAGACTTTTAAAAGTACAGGTTGCTTCCCTCCAGTGCTAAGTTTGGACAAGATAGAGAGCAAGTAGTGGTCTGTGTGTATTTGTAGTACATCCTTAACACTTCTGTTGTAGCATTTCTGTGGCTACATGCTTATCTCCTTCATTGCTCCTACTGCCTGTATGTACAGCACTGCTTCCCATTAGTCATCCCATGGAAGTGTAGCCTTTTACCACTTCCATTTGCTTATTGGAGCAGTACTGGCACACATGGCTGCTGTGCAGCGGTCCCTGTGCTGGTCACTGTCTGGTTGGTGACCTCACCGTTGTGACCAGCCTCCTTTTCATGTCTTGCTCCTTATGCAGGAAACTTAATTTTAGCCCCCCTGATTTTTCTCATTGTAGATAGTCCTGAGAAACAACTTGTGCCACGGTGACTGGTTGAGTTAAGAGCATCTGGTCTTACATTACTTGTAGCAAACCATGATTTTTCTGCCTGCTGCCGTAGTGCAGAGCACAGATACCATGACTTGAACACCAAACAGATTTTCAGCTTTGTGGCAGCCTTTCACTCCCACTTCCTATGTAAATAATTTTATATCTGATGTAGGTTTACAACGAGCATTGCATGCCATATTTTTAACTGTAGTCTGCTGCTGACCACATACCATGTGGTTAGGCTGTTTCTCGTGTTTCTTCCAGATATGGGGACTCCTGGATGGTTTGGTGGTTAGGTTTTTTGTTTGTTTGTTAAAACCTTCTTGGAAACTAATTCCTTGTGGAGATTTGAGAAAAAATATGTTTCGGTTTCTTCACTGGCTTTATCTGGTCCAGAGTGACTATGCTCCATGAGGGTGTTGCCACAGATATCCACACAGTAGATGAGAATGGAAAGAGTATTTCTTCCACAAATTGATGATTACACTAGTATAAAAATGAATGGCTTTAAGCCCATTGAGAAAAAAACATCACCAGTTTTCCTTAATTTATTTTCTGTTCAAGGTAACTTTCCCATCCTTTTGGCAGGTATTCAGAGCTATCTATGCTAGAATCCTGCATTATTTGACAAATACAGTAGGAATTTCTATTACATGGTATTAGGCAAATTTGGGTGAGGCCTGTACATCTTAAACTTTATTCCAAAAACCTCTGTGAAAATGTGTGTTGGTGAATATCTGATGCAAGGTGCAGCATGCTGTTGCTGATTTAGCATGGATGAGACGGGAGTGATATATTACTCATATGTGGTGATACAAGCATCTAGTGTGAGTTGTGTTGAGCTGCTATGTGAGAAAAAAAACCACAATTTTTGTTTCTATAGGAATTGTCATTAGTTGTTTGAAGGATGCCTAACACACTAAAGCAGTGGGAATGAATGCATTTTACTTGCATCAGCCTATTTTGGAAGGGGGGAGGAAGCTTAAATCAGGAGGGGAGGACAGGAAGGAAACATTTTTTTTTTATTCCAATATAGGTGTCTCTACACTGGGGTTATTTTGATAAATTTCCGCATGTATGAGACTCTCCTCTAGCAAATGCCTTTCCAAAATCTA